AACATGGTTTTAGCAAGATTAGCAAACTGTTAGCATGTTGCTAGCATTCGTGTAACATGGCTGATCTTGCTAACAAACTAGTTTGTTGATTGATATTTTTATTGTGAATCAGCACAGTGTTAGCATTGAATAAAAACATATATGTTGTATCACTGTTTTGTCTACTAAACATTCTTACATGGATATTGTACAAAGTATGTAAAAAAAACTTTGTAACCAACTTAAATGAGCATTTTGACAACAGTGTTAGCATAAATTAATTTGGTAGCATGAATAAGCATACTAATTTCAGTTGTCAATATTGTTTTATAGATTAGCTAACATGGTGCTAGTTCTAACGCGGTTCACATGTTGCTAACATGTCTGTAACACAACTGTGATTCTCAATCTGAACAAGCACGTTGCTAGCATGTTTTTAAATAATTAATGTGTTTTTCATGTTTTAGCATAAGCTAGCATTTTTCTTAGGTGTTTAGCCCTTTTTAGCATCAGTTAGACTAAATAACACATTTTAGTTTATGTGGCTGAAAACAGGAGAAAGAAGGAAGAAGAAGAAGAAGTTGAAGAAGCTGGATTTCATTAGCATTAACAAAACTTATTTAACAAGAGCTGGACATGTTTGAGAACTGAAGCAAGAAATGCAACATGATTGTTATTCTCAATATGAACTAGCACGTTGCTACCATGATTTAGCATGTTTTTATAGTTTTTGTTCAATCTTATATTTTAGCATGAACCTACATATTTCTAACCCATTTTTAGCATCAATTAGACTAAATATTTTAGTTTGTTTGAGAACTGGAATTTCATTAGCATTAGCAAAACTTCTGTAACATGACTTCAATACTTTTATAGAATGTGTAGAACATTGTGTCAGAAATAGCATGGCAATTACTGTGCTGATTTATAGAATTACAGTAACCAATGTTGTTTTATAAATCTGCTAATATGTTGCTAACATATTCTAATGTAGTTAACATATTGTTAGCATGTCGCTACCATGTCTGTAATGCGATTGGTGTTCTCAATCTGAACTAGCATGTTGCTAGCATATTTCATGAACTAGCATACAAAATGATTAGCCCATTTTCTAGCATAAATTAGTCATATTTATATATAAATGACATATTTTAGTTTGTATGTTTGAGATTTAAAGGAAGGAACGTAACATGATTGTTATTCTCAGTCTAAACTATCACATTTCTAGCATGTTTTATAGTTAATGTTCAACTATTCAATGTTATGTTTTAGCATGAATTAACATATTTCTAACCCCTTTTTTAGCATTATTAGACAAATTACCATATTTTAGTTTTAACGTGAGCTAGACTTAATTTTTTTATAGAATGTGTACAACATTGTAATTCTATAAGTCATCACAGTAATTGCGAAGCTATTACTTCCACGGTCACCTATATTGTTTTACAGTTTAGCTATGTTGATCGAACTTGGTTAACATATTGTTAGCATGTTGCTACCATGTCTTTAACGCTATTGTCATTCTCAATCTGAACTAGCACGTTGCTAGCATGTTTTAACTACAGTTATAATGTTACAATGTGTTTTCAATGTTATGTTTTAGCATGAAATATTATATAAAATGGTTTGCCCATTTTGGCATCAATTAGACTTATAAATATTAAATATTTTAGTTTGTATGATTGAGAACAGAGGGAAGAAATGTCTTGTTATTGTTATTCTCAATCTGAACTAGCACATTGCTAGCATGTTTTAGCATGTTTTCATACATAATATTTGTTTAATGTTATGTTTTAGCATGATCTAGCATATTTCTACCCTGGTTAGCATCAATTAGACTAAGTAACATATATTAGTTTTAATTAAGGCCAAATCCCAATTCTATTTTTGTACCCCTATTAGCATTAGCATTAGCAAAACTTATGTAATGTGAGCTGGACGTCAATGTTTTTATAGTTTGTGTACAACATTTTAAATCTATAAATCAGTACAGTAATTGCCATGCTATTTCTACCACAGTCACCAATATTGTTTTATAGATTAGATAATATGTTGCTAACATAGTTCTAACATGGTTAACAGATTGTTAGCAAGCAGCAACCATGCCTGTAACATGATCGTTTTTCTCAATCGGAGCTAGCATAATGCTAGCATGTTTTTAACTACAGTTTATGTTTCTTTAATGTTATGTTTTAGCATAAACTAACATATAAAATGATTAGCCCACTTTTTTAGCATTATTAGACTATATAAGATATTTTAGTTTGTATGTTTGAGAACTGAAAGAAGAAACATCACGTGATTGTTATTCTCAAACTGAACTAGCTTGTTGCTAGCATGTTTTAACAATTAATGTTTGTTCAATGTTATGTTTTAGCATGAACTAGAATATTTTTAACACAGTTAGCCTCTTTTCCCAGCATGAATTCGACTGAATAACATAACATAATAAGCTGGGTTTCATTAGCATTAGCAAAATGCCTGTAACATGAGCTGGATTTTCTTGTTTTTAAGTAAAGCCTATACCATTGTAATTCTATAAATCGCCACAGTAATTGCCAGAATGTCGGGATTAATGAACAAAGAGCATTTATTTGCCAAATTCTGACAGAAAAAGTGATGTTAAAATTGCCTGAAAGGAGATATAAATATATATATATATTTTTTTTTTTGTTCCTGTTTCGCTGAAGGCAACTGACCTCAACTATGAGTTTCCCTGATCTCATAAAAGGCCTGCCAGGAATATTTCATCTTGCATACGCAGGATTTTCAAAAGACATATCATGCGTACTATTTTAAAAAAGATAATTATTCAGCCTGTCACACGTACAAAAGCTTTCTCGTCTCTTTATCCTGAAAGAATCGAGGCATTCGAGGAGTGGAAACCGCACAACACTTCAAGGAAACAATTCATTCAATTAACGCTCCCTTACATCTTTTATCCAAACAATTTATTGTGAAATGCGAGGTGTGATTGTCATGATTTTAAAACACTGGCACCAGTCAAAGTGACATGGACCTTGGCAGAAAATGTTTTAATAAAATCTTATTTGTGTGAATATTCAGATTAACAACGCACCGTTGATTAGATTGTGATCATTTTCTTATTTTGAATTTATCATATTATTTATTTATTTATTTATTTATTTATTTATTTATTTATTTATTTATTTATTTATTTATTTATTTATTTATTTATTTATTTATTTATTTATTTTTTACCTACTCATTTATTTACTTACTTATTTATTAACTTGTTTGTTTGTTCGTTTGTTTGTTTGTTTATTTAGCATTTTTTATTTATTTATTTAATTAGTTAATTATTATGAGATGTGTATGAGGGTGTATATTATATATAATATGCACTTACAATCATATAATGCAATGAGGAAATGTGTGTTAGAGTGTATGTATAAATAAAAATAAATAAATAAATAAATAAATAAAGTTTTAATACATATTAATTTACACTTTGTAAAATATGATGTGTATATTTTTTAAAATATAATATGAGACCTGTGAATACAAATGATACATAATAATTTAAAGATTTTTTTGATATAATATAATATAATATAATATAATATAATATAATATAATATAATATAATATAATATAATATAATATAATATAATATAATATAATATAATATAATATAAAGTTTCTATTTTCTTAACTTACAAACACATGTCAATTATAACGAAAATAAGTGTTAAATTTGCTGTTAAATTTTCACCGGATGTTGATAACAACCAAAGAAATACATATATGCAAAGAAAACAAATCTAATTCGTTTATTAATGAAGTTATGTTTGATCAAATTAAATGACACAGGAAAAAAAGTATTGAACACATATAGAAAGGGGGGAGTAAAAAGGCATGGAAAGCCCAGACAGCAGCTGAAATCTCTCATTATTTACTCAGCAACCTTCTACCCTTTGTCAGTGTAAATTAACATTAGCTGCTTCAGTCCAACATCTCTATTAGCAGAAGGTTGAAGGTGAAACCAGGCTGGACACTTCAGCAAGGCAATGATCCAAAACACAACCAAGGAAACTTCAAATGGTTTCAGAGAAAGAAAATCAAGCTGTAGAATGGCCCAGCCAATCACCTGACCTGAATCCAATATAAAATACAAATTAAAGATCAGATTTGATCAGAACCATGAAGATTTTAAGTCTGTTGAGGTCTGTGAAAAAAAAAAACAGGTTCTTTAGAATATTTCCCCAGAAAAATATATAAAAAAACATGACATGTTGAATACTTTTCCCCCCACACTGTATATAAACATTAAAACATAAATAAATAAATAAATAATAATAATAAAAATGAAATAAATCTGCATTTTATACATTACAGAGAGAAGATTTTTTCAACATATTTCTAAACATAATACCTTTAATAACTCATTTCTAAAAACAGATTTATTTTATCTTTGCCATGAATATTTGACTAGATATTTTTAAAGACACTTCTATACAGCTTAAAGTGACATTTAAAGGCTTAACTAGGTTAATTAGTTTAAGGTTAGGTTAGGGTAATTAGGAAAGTTATTGTGTAATGATGGTTTGTTCTGTAGACTATCAGAAAAAAATCTATTAGCTTAAAGGGGCTAATAATTTTCACCTTAAAATGGGTTTTAAAAAAATAAAAACTTATTTTATTCTAGCCAAAATAAAACAAATAAGACTTTCTCCAGAAGGAAAAATATACTGTAAAAATGTCTTTGCTCTGTTCAACATCATTTGGGAAATATTTGGAAAAGAAAAAAAAATTCAAAGGGGGGATAATAATTCAGTAAATTCTGACTTCAACCGTATACATCTATAAAAATATATAAAAACTTATTAAATGTAGTTACATTAACTATACCATTGTAAAAACTATTAAAATAAATAATTGTGAAGCAATTTATAAAATATTGTATATAAATATTGTATAAATGTTTAATAGCAATAAATGTTTGAAATGAATGAAATAATGAAGTGTGATGCTGAAGTGTGTGTTGTCAGTGAACTCACAGATGGCTGGTGCTTCGTCTGAAGCGTCGGGACAGTCGATCTCTCCATCACACAGCCAGCTCTCAGACACACAGTTGAGGCCGTCAGCACACAGAAACTCCTCCATATCACACACTTCACCACAGAGAGAAACACACACACACACACACACACACACACACACACGAAGGAGATGAGTGTTGAGATATACTGTATGTATATCAGCAGAAATGGTAATGCTGCATGAGAGAAATGACTGGAGAATGTTAGTGAGTGAGTGGAAGTCAAAGTGTTTGAGCTGCAGGACATAGGGTTTACTTTTTACCCAGGAGAAAAATAAATAAATAAATAAATAAATAAATAAATAAATAAATAAATAAATAAATAAATAAATAAATAAAAAGTACAATTATTTTAGGATACATTTTACAAGAAAATATTTCATAATTAACCATTTCTTTCATAATTATTAATAAGGTAATAAGAATACACTTAACTGTCTTGAATGCTTTAATGTTTAAATTATTAAATAAATAAACAATTAATTAATTAATTAAGAGAGAAGAAAATAAAATAAATTATTACATCAGATATATAAATAAAAATATAACATCAAAAAGTAAATAAACAAATTAAATCAAAAAAATGTATATATATATATATATAATTAAACTTTTATAGAAGATCAAAGAGAGATTTTAAACAACTCATAAATAAATAATATCAAATAAATAAATCAGATATAAAAAAAATAGAAATATAACAAATAAATAAATCAAATATATAAATAAATATATAACATCAAGTAAATAATCAATCACATTTCCAAAACCACACATAAAAAATATATATAGGAAACCGTAAAAGGTAGGATTAGATTAGTCAACATCAGAGATCATTTTAACATGAAGCAACTTAAGCAATGCATGTTTACAGCATCCATTAATCCAACTGTGTCCATGTTTGTTTACAGAACATTAAAAAGCAATCCTGAACTTTAACAATATATTAGTGTGTTAAAACCAAAAAATACCTAAATGTAATAAGTGCTATAAAAGTTTTTTTTACATTTTTTTTAATAGATAAACTCCATTAAAAAAAGTAATACCAAGATTTACCCTTCCCCCAAACTGTTAAAATGGTGAAAATATGAATTTCAGCCTATATTATTTTGCTCAATCTGAAGTACCTGCTCTCCTCTCAAGAGTTCAAAGAGCCCATGATGTTTCTTTCATTCGGCCAAATCCTTACAAACCAATAGCCTGAAGTAGACGGCAATCTACTCAGAGCCAGCTCTTATTTATCCATGATGCATTAGTGCTTCATAAATAACCAAATAACACGAGCGCCGTACGGCCAAAAAACCAAACAATCCCAGCATCCATTTGAATTACTTGCCATCCTTATTTTGCGTGGCTGTAAACAATCCCAGAGAGAAAAAGTAGAAGACGGAGAAAAAAGAAGAAGAAACAGCAGGAACAAACATGATTTTTTACATCAGACGGTAGCTTAAAAGCGGTTGGAAAAGCACAAAGCGAGACGCTACGAAAGCTTTCAAGCTGGGAAAAGTGAGCGCATTTCCATTAAAGACTGGGGCGGTGATAGTGGAGCGTTGTGGCCAAAAATATACTTGAGCAAAAGTTTAAAAGAGGAGTAAAGTAAAAGTAGTACTTAAGTATTGAAGAAGCAAAAGTATCCTTGTGAGAATAAAAATGAGAGAGGAGATCCTGAATTTGTCATTTTGAATCATTCTCTTATGCGTAGTAATATAAAAACATCGAAAATATTGCGATAATGTGAAATATACTTTCACCGGCCACTTTATTAGGTACACCTGTCCAACTTGTAGTTATTTAAGCAAATTTCTATTCAGCCAATCACATTTATGGATGTCATGAGAGTCATGTTCTCTATTGTGTTTAGTGTTGGTCAACTGTGGTAGCATCTTTTAATTAGGAAAAAATATTTTATTATTATTATTACTATTTTTTTTTTTGCTCTTTTATTGATAATTTTTCTATGTTCCTTCCTATTATGTGCTTATTGCTGTTTTTACTGTTTTATGCTCATACCATGTGTTTATTTTCTCTCCGTAAAGCACTTTGTGCAGCCCTGTGGCAGTTGGAAACGTGCTATATAAATAGAACTTGAACTTGAACTTGGATGTAGACATAGTTAAGATGACCGCATCAGAATGGGGAAGAAAGGAGATTTAAGAGACCGTGAACATGGCATGGTTGTTGGTGCCAGATGGGTTAGTCTGAGGATTTCGCAAACTGCTAATCTACTGGGATTTTCACGCACAACCATCTTTTGGGGTTTAAACAGAATGGTTCGAAAATGAGAAAATATCCAGTGAGCGGCAGTTCTGTGGGTGCAAATGCCTTGTTGATAAATGACCTTGTTCGAGCTGATGGAAAAGGCAACAATAACTCAAATAACCACTCGTTACAACCGAGGTATGCAGAAGAGCATCTCTGAACACACAACATGTCCAACCTTGAGGTAGATGGGCTACAGCAGCAGAAGAGCACACCTGGTGTCACTGCTGTCAGCTAAGAACAGGAAGGTTCTGAGGCTACAAATCACACAGGCTCACCAAAATTGGGCAACAGAAGATTGAAAAACCGTAGCCTGGTCAGTTGAGTCTCGATTTCTACTGCGACATTTAGATGGTAGGGTCAGAATTTGGCATCAACAGCATGAAGGCATAGATCCATCCTGCCTTGTATCAATGGTTCAGGCCGCTGGTGGTGGTGTGATGGTGTGGGGGATATTTTCTTGGCACACTTTGGGTCTATTAGTGCCAGTTGATAATTATGTCAACGCCACAGCCTACCTAAGTACCATGTCCATCCCTTTATGACCACAGTGTACACATCTTCTGATGGCTACTTACAGCAAAATAACGTGCCATGTCATGACGCACAAATCCTCTCAGACTAGTTTCTTGAACATGACAATGAGTTCACTGTACTCAAATGGCCTCCACAGTCACCAGAACTCAATCCAATAGAGCACCTTTGGGATGTGATGGAACGGGAGATTCGCAACATGGATGTGCAGCCGACAAATCTGCAGCAACTGTGTGATGCTATCATGTCAATATGGACCAAAATCTCAGATGAATATTTCCAGGACCTTGTTGAATCTATGCCACGAGGATTAAGGCAGTTCGTAAGGCAAAAGTGGGTCCAACTTAATACTAAGGAGGCGTACTTAATAAAGTGGCCGGTAGGTGTATATCGCAATGGTTTACAATAAAAGAGCCTTTTGATAAAAAAAAAAAAAAGTATCTTTGTTTGATTGTCATTAACACGTCAAGCAATGTAGTACATATAATACTGTAAACACACATCTTAAACCAAGCAAAAGGACAATCGAACTAACAACAACAACAAAATTATAATTTAGTATTACAATATAGTGTATATAATCTATTTAGTATAGTATATAGTAATAATTTAATTTAGTATAGATGCTGAAATGACCAATCAAGTGTTCAGAAGTGTACTCAAGTGAACTTATGGTTAGTCAGTTTGAGCTGTAATTGACTCAAGTATAAACCGCCAAGTCAAATTACTCAAGTATATTACACCCCTGGGTTTGAAGTGGGGAAACATGTATTGTGGCTACAGAAACTTGAAATCAGATCCACAAGGCTGAACTTTATGGTTTCGATGGAAGGTCAAAAAGGTCCTGGAAATTTTGATCTTGAGCGGCTGGTTTATGTGGACATGTTTTGTATTTGCTTTGTTAAATGGGTCTGAGCCAATACACAGAGAGAGCGAACAGCTTTTAGAGTGAAAACATGTTTAGTTGAGTTTTGTTTTAATCTGCTGTAAAGACATTTTGATGCTGGATCTATATGTGCGAGAGATTCGTATGCACATCTGAATATACATTGTGAATACAGAAAAAAATTATAAAATAAAAAAAATAGAAATCTGTAACGCTTTAGAATAACTATCCATAAAAACCAGTTGATAGTCCATTAATAAACTGTTAGTTCAAGAGTTCACACTTAGCTGATGATTTTTTAATAAAGCTTGTTTGGTTTGCTATCCCTTGAGAGAGCCCTAAGCTTATAAGATATTCGAGCCCTGGGCTCCCTCCAGTTGCAGAGCGAGAGAGGAGTTTGAGCTCAGGTAGATTTCAAGCACTCCCCCTCCTGCTTATTGTAGCTAAGTGTCAGATATGGATGGCTGAGAAGAGGTGTACTCAGAGCTTGGCTAAAATTATTTTGTATTAACTGTTTAGGGTGCTTGTTTTTGAACTGTGGGAGGAAACCGGAGGACCCGGGGAAAACCCACACGAGCACGGGGAGAACGAGCAAAACTTCGCCTGGTTTTAAAGTGTATTAAACCAGTGGCATTCTTGCTGTGAGGCATCAGTGCTAATCACTGGCCACCGTGTCGCCCGTTTGAAAGGAGGGGAAGTAGGGTAGGGTGGGGGGGTTTCTTCAAGAAGAAGGTATTGAGATGAGAAAAGTCATGAGTTAAGGATCGTCTGATAGGATAATTAGTCAAATTTGTTTATAAATAAACTTCACTTAATGAGTTAAAAATAACTTGTTAAATAAAAGTTGATAGTTTGCTAATTATTTATAACTGTGCCTTATAGATAGCCAACAGATAACTTACAAGCTGTGCATTAACAAGTTCTAAATGACTTGTTAACTGTATTTTAATGATTTATAACTACACAGCACCTAATAAATTATTAACATCATAAACAAGCTGTTAGTAAATTACTTACTAAAGACTTGTTAAGTATCAGTTAATAGTTTATATATGTTATTGGGACGATATTCTAAAGTTGCAGCTATTTTTTATTAATTGTTAGCAAATGAGGAATACTTGCAACTTTAGAATAGCGTCCCAATAACATACGTAAGCTATTAACTAACACTTAACTAATATATTAACTCACACTTTACAGATCAGTTGTTCATATTTGTTAACCATCTACTAATACCAGTGAAACGGTGTAAAACAGCAAATGGATGGAACAAGTTCTACAATAATTTGATGCGATATTTAAAATATAAATTTTTTGTACCTTAACCTTGTTCCACTCATAGGCTTTTCTGTGTGCTGTATTTTACCAAAGAAACTCTACAGATGAGATGTTGA